TTTTATAAACAAAACTGAATTCTCCGTGTGACATTTTCTTCTCGAACTACCAGACACAATACTATATAACACATAACTCTATGAATAGGGACTATTAAACCGGAAATAGGGAATCAAGTAGTACCACTCACGTTGCGAGACATCAAGTAATTATATCATATTCATTTTGAAAGAAATAAATCCAATGTATCCCCCACGTAATGTAAATAAAATATAAAAAAATAAATACATGTTAACGTATTGTAAAATGATAAATCAAAGTAAAAATTCCCGTAAAACATTATTGTTTATATCGTGTGTGTCTAGTTAATCGAGGTGTGTCCGATTGAAGAAAAATAGTAATACACGATAAAAAGCAGACGAAATTGTTTTCTAACGAAGATTTCTAACGTAACAAAAAAATAACAATTAAAATGAGTGGGGCTTCGGAAGTCACTGTCAAGAATTGGCTTCAGACATAAGACCTAACTAAATTTCTACATCACATTCACAAACTGTCACAAGTACTTGTGGCAGTGCTAAAAAATCTAAGAATAGTCAGAATGGAATCTAATCATATTTGTTATGAGCTAAAGTAATATCTTGTTATTTAGGTGTTTTACATTGAAACTGAAAAACTGCTAATCAATTTTTAAATTTGCTAATCAAATTTGGCGAAATTGGACTTTTTGATTAGCAGTGCTAATCAACTGTGAAAAATTACCGACAGCCCTGATCATCAGTTATTGCCGCTCCATGTTCAACATCTTCATTAAAATGTCCAACAGTATCATTGAGCAAATTTCCCAAATCACTGGAATCCCCCTGTGGGATTAAAGAATCTTCTTCAACCCCATCAATAAACCCTGTGCAGTTTACAACTGCATCAATTGGATTCCAAATGTCAAGCGAGATGTTGTCAGCATTATACACATTTCCGGTCGCCAAGTTGTTTTCACTGACAATCGGTATTCGGGGCATTTCGTCCATAAAATTTGAAAACATTGCATGCTGATTTACTACCAAATTATTCATGGTATTTTTCATAGTGCTTTCGTCATTTCTGACATCAAAAGTGACAAATTGTTGTCAGTAACATCATCATTGTTCCCTCTTGTAATCCAGTACTAGTAAGCATGGAGAAACCACGTGACAGTAGATTCTGGAGCAGATGACTCACTCGAAAAATTCCCTTCGGGAGCGACTGAATTCGGTATTTTCAGATCGATTAGCTCAAGATTTCTTAGATTTATTACCTTTTCTAATCACGGGTGTTTCCCTCTTTTCAAAAACCTTTTTAGCTAAATCAAATTCGTCTTTTTTAGTAGAATTTGACGATTGTGAATTCATGTCTTTCGTGTCCGCCATCAACACACTGAAAAGATGGGGAAACCACAACCAAAAATTCACTAAAAGGGGGCTTGTAAAGGGAGAAAGAATAAATGCTTGAAATTGTTTCAGCACGTGCTTGCTGTATACGGCCTGTCATTGAGTCAACTGGCGTGGTTTCGATTCCCCGGTTGGACGTGACAAGAAGTAGGGTTGCATGTCCAGCCTCGGGGGTTTTCTCCGGGTTCTCCGGTTTTCTTCCACTGCTAAAGACCCTTAAGCGTAAGCGAATTATTGAAATACAATTGAACCATGTGTTAGTCCCGAAATGACCTATAGTTGAGTGGACGTTAAACCCCAAACGGCAAATGGCCAAAGCAAACTATAATCCTACTCTATATTGATGGGCCTCTCTTTAGTCCGACTGAAAGCAACCCGAAGATTGTCAGCCGTCAATATTTTGATTTCGTTTTCTTAAATAAATGTTAAATTATCAAATTGGGTATTTTTCAGCCGTGAAAAATAAGTTATTTTCTGAAAAATGCAAATGGCTATCAGCGGCTTTAAAAAAAAAAAATTGTAATTAAATTAAGCTGAGAGTGATTGACGCAGACCATCAGTTGCAAGAACTCTGCCATTCGTCAATGTCACCCGGTTTACTTTGTAGTGCAGATGATCACATATAAATACTAGCTTCGAAGAGCGGAAATCTCTTTCATCTTTATTCTAAAGGCAGACGTGCTATTTCTATGAGCTTTCACCAAAACACTGCTTGTTGGGCCTTGGAGCCGCTGTGACTCGTTCATTGAAATTTTTCGGCGTGGTTTCTCCTTGTCAGTGGAACAGGACGGATTGTCTGGCAAGAATAGTGTCTTGTAGTTCGGATGGGACGAAAAACACGAGGTCCAGTGGGGTGGGACGATTTACCCAATACTACCCAATACTACCCAATACCACCCCTATACCACCTCAATATCACCACATACTACCCAATACTACAACATAATGATGCAAAATAGACATATCGTTTGATTGTTTTCAAAAATAGAAAGTTATATGACGGGAAATGTACTTCAAATGCGATACCGATATCTGGCTGTTCCATTTGCCTCCCTCTACCACTCCAAAAAAGCCAATAATAACCCAATACTACCAAATACTCATCAAATACTACCAAATACTACCCAATATGATCAAATAACAACCTAATATTGTCAAATAACGGCACATTAGTATAATTACTGCAACGAATATTCGATATTTTGCAGAAAATTGAAATTTTTACACAGTTATCTCCCTTTACAACCGGTAAATAGATTTTAGATTGCTGCACTGATTAATCATTTTCTTTGCCTTTGCAATTGGTTTCGAAGATGACACACTTAAAATAAGAAAAACAAGTATGACGATATACCATATTTTATTCCCAAAATGACCCATCTGTCTCTTACCACTTGATAGGGTCGTCTGTCAAACAAGATGGGTTTTCTCGGGTCCCCCGGTTTCATCTCACTGTTAAACATCCCTTCCCGCAAGCGAGTTAATGAAATAATATTGAAATATATGTTAGTCCCGAAATTACCTGGTTAGTATCGATTGTTTGTATCTATTTTAAAATTAATGCTCTAACAAAACAATTGCATAATGTTTATATTCATTTTTTTCATGTCAACTATTAAGTTATTGCGTATTTACTGACTGTACGATGTTGTATTTTAAAATTAACGAAATTGCACATGTTTCTTTCCAGTGTGTAATTCTCGACGCGACACATCTCAGTTCATCAAAACTATCATTTGCGGCCTGTTACAGCTCTGTCGGTTTCTTTGATAATATAAATAAAACAGAATTTGATTACCCAATCAACAATCTTAACCCCGTCGATTAATTGTTAAGTCAGGTTGAATGTATATACGTGTAGAGTATTACACATTGTGGGAGGAAACTGGAGACCGTGTCTATTGATTTAGGTGATAATGACATCGCCGCGACATCGTCACCTGTGGGTATATACCGTAGAATACTTAGAATTTGTTCAATAGTGACAATATTCGAAGAATCGGTGAAATTTTGACAAGAGGTTTTTTTTTTCAAAGGCGCTTGGTATGGAACCGGAATCATTTCAAAGACAAAGAAGACGAGACAGATATAAAGATAAATTCGTGTGCTTTCCTGACATATTATACCAAAATGATTTTTTACAGAACCGAGTGCACTTGTAGACAGCGTGTTATATTACTAAAATCACCAGGATGAAGAAATAATTATAGTACAAGAAGACTTTTGAATAGATCACGAGACCGTTAAATGAACAGTTTTAAATCAACCTCTAAAATACTCTTTTATTTGGATGTTTAGCTGTTTATTTTATAACACTATAGCGGAGGCATCTATAATAACCTGTTTTCCTTATTTTAACTTCGTCGTCTAGGAAACAAACTGCAAAGCCCAACAAGATGATTAATTTGAGTAGCAATCTAAATTCTATTTGTCAGTTGTAAAGGGAGATAACTGCGTAAATATTTCAATTTTCTATAAATTATCGAATATTCGTTGCAGTAATTATAATAATGTGCTGTTATTTGACAATATTAGGTTGTTATTTGATCATATTGCGTAGTATTTGGTAGTATTCGATGACTATTTGGTAGTATTGGGTTATTATTTGTTTTTTGGGGGGTGGTAGAGGGAGGCAAATGGAACAGCCAGATATCGGTATCGCATTTGAAGTACATTTCCCGCGATATAACTCTCTATTTTTGAAGTATTGGGTAGTATGTGGTGATATTGAGGTGGTATTGGGGTGGTATTGGGTGGTATTGGGTAGTATTTGGTAAATCGTCCCGCCGGTCCAGTGTACACCAAAATTACCTTTGATGGTTGGAATGTTTCCCTCATAGCACACTGTATAGCGTATGCCCTTCTCATTAGCTCATTCATTGCAGTCAAGTAGGACGTCAAACCCCATGTGGTTTCATTTGAATTACTATACTATAAAATTGTAATATATACAAATACTGACATTAATACATTACTTTCCCAATAATATCTAATAATTAGTGTTATGTTCCATTTAGTGACCTCGTATCCAAATCATGAATGTTACATTATGATGTGTATATATGCTGCCATTTCGGTGAAGAAAGCTGCATCTTTAGAATCAAAGTTGAACTACTGTGCACAATAAAGTGTACAGAATAATCAAAATCGAGTCAATAGGAAGTGCATTTGGTAAATGGGGACAGTTCAAAAGAACATAAAATTAATTCTAACGATTCTTACTAAATGGCTCAAATTCAACACCCTAATACCAGAGTGTGAACCGTCACACAATTATGGCGTTTATATTATAATAGTATTAGCTTCAGATGTAACGAACCTTGGACAGCGGTATCCAATATTGTACAACCATATGCATAGGAATAACTAATCTATGTATTATATATTAATATACAATGTGCCTATGTATCATAATAATCTACATTATATTGTCTATACCTACTAAATCACACATCACGATTTCGTCATTCGATTATCGGGGTTAAACATAATTGACACGTAATTAATTGCATGAAAACATATGTGTATAGAAACTATCGACGGAAATAAAGTTGATGTATTGACAGAGAAAAACAAATGCTATTTGGCGAACGTTTAATAACATATACAAACAAACATATACATGTACATACCTTGTTTGTATTCGTTGCTGTATCGTTTTCCATTTTCTAAAAGCACAAAACGTACAATACGTCATATATTCAGACAACGTATTCGTAAATATGAAGCCATTGCTTAATCTGCCCACATCATAGACCCTTTCACCTTATGGTGTCACTGTTAATACCCCTTTAGTCCTAACGCACATTTATCAAATGAGTATACCGATTAATACACTTGACTGTATTTAATATCTCTATGAATGTATAGATGGATGTTGAAATTATCAATATCAAACTGTAGCAGATGGCCAAACGGGGTTTGTTTATACTGTGGTAAGAAATATTCATCGATTTTGTTTGCATATAAATTTGATTTAAATAAAAAAATTCGATTTCATGTAATAAATTCATTTCAGTTTAGTGGGGTAGCAATGCGTTTATATGAATATGTATTTCGTTAATCGAATGGAAAATTATATCAGACTTTTTATATGCTAATTATATGCAGTTTTGATGTAAATGGGTAATTTGTGGTCATAAAATTCTTGGTAAAAAAATCGTCAACAACAGTTAGAAATTTAAATGTTTATGTACATTTATATATGTAAACGGTTAACAAATTTGAACTGTGACATATTTGATTTATCGGCGGAATATTTTGTTTAATACTCAATTAGTTTCATCAATTACGATTGTTGCGACAAGTACACAATTGTCAGGCAACGAAACCTCCCAACCAGGATATTAGCCGTTTGGGCCGCAAGAAATATGACAACCATTTGACTGGTCCCATTATGTAAGGCTTGGATAAAGAGCGAAGTTATGGGTGTTTGAAGTTTTGACAAGATATTCTCGATTGTCAAGTACCAAGTAAAAAGGTCTCGATTTTCCAGTTTATAGTTTAATTATCAAATATCGAATTTGTTTTTATCCATTCAATATCTAAGCCATCCGATGACCTAGAGACGTGATTATGCGCTTTTCATTTGATTAAATGTCTGAATAATAATTTATATAACATTTGAAATTACGCAAAAAAGAACTGTAATGGACAGCTAGCTTTAGCTCTGTATACTGTATGTAACCAACACAATTTATTTGTTCAGATTTGATCAAGAATGGTGCTTCATCGGTGTATGTTGTGGTATATCTTTCTCAAACTGTGACATCAGACGGTGATAACACGTACAAATTGTTAATAGCGAAGTTCCAGGCTTGATTATTATCAATAAAAATATGAAATTTCAAAACTTTTATATCATAAAACGTGTTTCGCGTAGTTATCTTTGCTTTTGAGCCATGGTTTTGTGGTATAGGAGCAGTGTAGATCATAGGTCTGTTATTTATGCAAAATGTATTTGCACGTGTTATAAACTCGAAAAATTAAAACGGGAACTACTTTTTTCTTTCTTTACAAAGATCCCTGCACGCAGCTGCATTACGTGTATTGACATACAATACAGCATGACATAGTTAATGTTGAGTAGACGTTGAATTTCATTTCTCCTCCTCTCTGCCGGGTTTAGAGTCTTAAATTACAGTCCATAATGGATAGGTTTTGTTTTTGCTTTTTAAAAAGTGTTCTTGGTAATTTCTTCACGGTTTGTGAGCAGATCCTTTTTTTATGTTTTTGGTCGCGAACATCGAAGATATTTAAAATAAAGCTAATTGAGTTTATTGTTTACACAGTGTACTGGTTATGTTAGGGGGTGGTGTTGAATATGAGTTTTTTCGGGGGCCCCTCCAAAAGTTGTAGTTACCCTACCCATGTATGAACATATCGTCACAATAGATATCAAACGGTTGAGAATATTCAGTGTTACATAGTTTAACATTCTCTTTATATTTTTCATTTTTCCTTGCCTAGCGCGTTTGGATGAGATTTTGAAATCTTGTGTAAGGAGTTCGTATATTCGTTTTGATATATTTGGTAGTGATAGTATATACTAATACTAATACTATACGTTGCAAAATAACTAGTGTTCTGAAAGCACATATGCAAAAACTAGAGCTGCATTATTTTTAGAACGTCCACTTTGACCAGCCCTAGTTGGTCTCATCATATTAGTTATGATATCGTTTTTGAAATGTAAGAGTCCACTGGCAAATCCAGCTGTTTCTATATACAATTCCTCTCCTAACTGTTTTCGCACCAAAGAGCGAGATGCTTTAGGTTTTGGCGGGGTCATTACGGTATTACTTTAGTCTGCAAGTACACAATAAGCACACATAGGTGAGTATATATAGACAAATATAGATAAGTATACATAAAATGTTTTATAGACAAGTAAATGTAACAATAAAATGTTAGACAGGTCATCAAACACTGAGAAAATATCAACACGCATGGAATTTGTAGAAATATTACCGCCATCTTGGATTTCCGACATTTTGGATTTTCAAATCTTAAATTTATCATCACCAATGAACTCAACTACCCCGAAAACCATTATATAGAGTCAAGATGAGATTTATACAGGGAAAAATAATGAAGATTTTGAATGAAATCTAAATTATCACCCTCAGTTTACCCCCTACTATCTTCAAAGGGTGTGAACAGGAGGGGGAGGGTGTCATAAAGAAATAAAAACAATATGTTCATACATGGGTAGGGTAACTACAACTTTTGAAGGGGGCCCCGAATTTGAACATCAATATTTGTAAAATAACACCACCCCCTAGTTATGTCCCCGGTTCGAACTTGTACGAGGTCCGAGGAAAAGATTCAATGAGAGAGAGTGAGAAATGGGGTTTAACGTCCACTCGACACAAACTAGGTCATTTCGGGACTAACATATGGTTTAATTTTATTTCAATAATTCGCTTGCGCGTAGGGGTCTTTTTAGTAGTGGGAGGAAACCGGAGGACCCGGAGAAAACCCACGAGGTTGGACAGGCGACCCTACTCCTTGTCACGTACAACCGGGGATTCGAAACCACGCCAGTCGACTCAATGACAGACTTTATGACACAGCGCGCGCACGCTAACCATTCAGCCATCCAACCCCCCAAGATTCAATGAATGGCTTTGACTTATCTATGATGTTTCTAGCCATTCAGGTGGTACAGAAAATTTCTTAGTTGTTGAAATTCAACGAAGAGTTGACGATAGCCTGTAATTGTGATTAGCGTATTTGGTGGATTGTTGGAGTAGCGTCCCCCATTTCCGTTTGATATAAAGTCATTTGAGCCTGCGTCAGGTATAATTATATGCTTAATAATAGTTCGGTGTAATATAATAGTGGTTATTTTAGTTCTATGAAAGGTGCTCCGTTTAATTTATTGAAGTGGTTAAACAAATGGGTGACAACGAGGAATAGGCTAAGTAGGTACCTGTATTTTGAAAGATTCAAGTTTCTTAGACTAACTCACGGACATTTCCTGTCACCACCAATTGCTGAAAGTAGGGTACTATCGTCCAGTCATCTCGTGCACAGATTAGTCTAATTAAAGATACATTATGGGAGATTTTAATAGAGAGTTGGCCATTCTTGCTATAACAGTTCAAAAATAGATGATGAAAGAAGAATATATTGAAAATTTCAGTCAAATTACTTTATTGTGAACAAAGTTATCACCATTGTAATTTTTGACTAGAAGTAGGAGTCAACTCTCTCTTCGCCGTCTCCGAGAATGGCCGATCGTTTGATTTACAGGCGTTAACTCCACCTACATAATCTCGATTATCAAGTAACGTTTTCAATGGCTGTGGTACCGTTAGCCTATTCGGTTTGAGACGGGGTTGCAATTCAATTCGTATCACATTTATTTTTAGTACAAATTAAAAATAAGACTTTTAATATATAGATAAGAAGCGAAATTTAAAAGGAATGGACCAAATCAATGAGGCATAATTATAGCCGACTTCTTGTTAGCCTGCATGTACTCTTGTACTGTAACTGGTAGGCCTACGTAACTCCCGAAGCAGACAAATAGGAAACAGTGATCCAATGGGGCTGCAATTCAACTGGAGTGATGTTAGCTGCGATGTTTATCAATTTCCATAATTTTTCTGTAAACGCAAGTGACAAAAGAGCGTATAATACCGACATCCAAACTCTCATTTTAACCACAACTAAACATAATATCAAGGCCGTATATATCGAACTTTCAATCAAATTGACTGACATGCGGCCTCGCTTCGTAAACTCTATCATTTAGCCTCGATCTAAAATTTCCGGGAGTATGACGTCAACGTAACGGTTAATCTCCGCTTACGACGCCATTTAAAAATTTAATCAATCAATGAAATCATGTTTAAATCCAAGCCCGATCCAAGTCATCCGTGAGTTGATTTTGTGCTTGTTGTGTAAATAAAGATCTAATTTATAATTTCTATGACATCTGAAGCCTAAATAAAGACTTGCAATAATCAGATTTAGCTCTTGCATAATGTATGTTTAAATAGAATAATGTTGACGTAAAACGGTGCCCATACGAAACACTTACCCAAAAATGTCAGACATGGAGACCGGACCCGGGGTATGACATTGCCAAATGCTTCTTTTCTTACAAGATATCTTAGTAACCTTGTGATCGTCTAGTATTTTCACTTGTCTTCTTTGGCTTCCTTTTCACGTTGTGTATTTTATTCTATGCATAAAAGATTACAATAAAGTCATTATCTCAATCCCAATCCACCCAGACTCGCCCAAATTTCTCCCTCTGGAATCCAGTGGCTGTCTGCCGAATGCTCGTGCGTGCGTTCCTAAAGTTTTATGTCCACTTCCACCACAGGTGATATCGTAGACAAGACGAATATTCAGAGATTAGACTCGACAACCTGCTCTAAATGACGTCAGGCTGGTTCCTACGTCACTGCGCTATTTTGACTTCAATAATATGCAAGTCAGAAAATGAGTGACGTAGGAGCGAGTCTGACGTATTAGAGCAGGTTATCCAGTCTAACTCAGAGATATGATAGTCTTGTAGCTTTGGGCTTGGACCTTCAATTATCTAATTGGTCAAATATGACGTAATTAATTATAACGATTGGTTAATTAGCCTAATGACGTCGAAAATCACCCTTATATGGATAGTGGGAACTTACACCAGAAATTTCACACGTGTTATTAACTTAGAATTAAATGTTTACCAAATTATAACTCTTTTTATGTTGAAACCCGTCACCAAATATTTAAGTGCACGAAATCTGACTTCTATACAATGTTTGAATCTAATATTTGCCAGAGATATTATTGCACACAATGCTACTAATTCAAAGAGCAAAAATTCTACCAGTCTTACTACACTAGCTGATGCATCTATTCTTACTATAAAA